CCTACACGAGGAAAAAGCACGTACCGAGTTCCGCAATGGAAACAAGAGACGCAATGGCCACAGGGTAGGAAGAAACAATCTCTCGGAGCATCAAAACAAATGGCGCAAAGGCGTCTGGTGTTACCGCCACTGCTGGTTTCACCCTCCATTGCCAAGAGCTCTTCCAAATCAGCATCCTCATCATTGGAAATGGATTCATAAGAAGAACAAGTGCTTCCGCCTCCATCATCATCTTTGTTTGAAAGCAGGGCTTCTCTTCTTTGAGATTCTTCTTGATCCGAATTCCTTCCATCTTCCCCCCTTATGCACTGGGACCATTGCCGGTATTTCAATGCCACCAACATGAGTCCACTCATAAGAACTGCATGATTAAAGATATAGTTGTGTTCGTTAGGAGGAGATGTTTCTTCGAACAGAAATATTTCATATCAGATATCCCAAAAGGTTTGAAAATTTTATGATAGGATGAAAACGTTACCTGTTCCGGTTATATATGTTATCCATCTGGGTTGATAGGAAAACCTAACATACCATTCTTCAGTAGATGTTTCCTGAATCCGGAGAAATAGTGGAATTGAGGATCATCTCTCATGATTTTTCCAACTTTTGGGGCGTTTCCTCGGGAAGATCCAAAAGAATAAAGAGAGAGATGTACCTCTTCCAGAGCTGGCGAGGTCAACACAAAAGAATTTCCACGAGGAAACATGACATCGAATGAGCACTCGCCATCGCCAAAGGTACACATGTAGAATGATTCTGTAGTATCATACAAGAAAGCCCTTATACCAATATCCAATTCCACCTGCCAAAATATCCAACCTCATTTGTCTTCCAAAGAAACATCTCCATGTGGACAAATCATAACATTCAAATAGGAGAAACGGTTCCTGTTGTCCGGTCAAATAAACTGAAGCTATGTATCAACTGAGCCATGAAAGAGACAGAACAATAATGAAATTCTAGAACAGTTCCCCCAGAGAGGAAAGCCGCTTGTTTTTCTCAAAACAATCCTTGATAGAATCAAAAAGCAAAAGCCAGATCTTTACTCGACCAGTTACCTTTACGTCCATACTGTTCAAGTTATCCACAGCAACATAATAACTTGAAGATCTGGGTACCTTCATTTCAACCATACCACTCCCTGTGAAGGAATTTTTATTAAAAAGTCTTGTATAATCAGCTTAACCAATGCATTTTAAGTTGATAACTTCAGCCTGACTAACCATGGATGAGATTCCATGATAAAGTGGTGTTAGGAAATGCAGGGTCCTCTAACCACCGAGAAAAACCTTCAGCTCCTGCAAATTGCTAGCAGCGACATGATAAGTACAGTGCTTCAAAAGGTAACAACACTTCAGTGAATCAACATAAGAATCACTGGCCGGTCACCCATAAGAGCAGATGAGCTAATAGAAACAGAAGCAAAATCACAGGTAATCTTACTATTAACATACCTTGAGCAATTACAAGCAGAACTGAGGAATCTTGTGATTTGACATTGTATGAAATATTTAAACAAGTTCCCTGGTTCAGATAGTATGCCCACCCCTGGAGACTACAAAACTTTAGAAGAAGAAAAAAAGACTTTTGTATCCGATCATACCATTGAATCTGAATCTCTCTTTCAATTTGCACATCCGTTCCAAGAAATAGACAAAATTTTATGCTTAGAAGAAGGACTTATAAACAGAATCAAGATTTTTCATATCTTCATAGGGAAAGATTCTACCAAAAGGCAATGCAAAGAAGATTAGAACTTGCCTTGTGAGAACCGGCGGAGAGAGATAAAAGGTGAGTTTCTGACCAAGTCTCTATGACATCAAGAGAAGGAGATCTATAGAACCCAAATAACTTCAGCCCAGGTTTCATATCATCCAGTTGATTCACCTGGCAGAATCATCCCGACAGAGTCCCGAGATTGATCATACACAGAAAACCCATCAAGAGCACAGAAAAGGAAGACCAGGAAACAAAGCCAATCCCACCTTTATGCTTTGGACAAAGAAGGGATTCAGGTCGACGAGAACAGAAGAATTCGGACCAATCCACGTGTTCTTTGAACCATAGACACCCAAAATCAAGGTCATAGCCACTGAGTCATCAACACAACAGTCAGATTAAGTCCTCCCACTAATAAAATAGGAGGAAACGAACTAGTCAATCCCTAGATTCCAACTTCAACAATCAATACTAACTCAAACGAGGGAAGAAAGTATCGAGACGAACCAAAGAACCAGAAAGTGAGGACCACAGCGAAGCAGGAGAAGCTCTCTTCGTCAGCACCGGCAGATGCATCGCCAAGCGCCGCAACATCACCCCGATTCAGAATTCCGATATACCGATAACCCAGGTCCGGATTCTGAAGTTGAAACCTCTCTTCTTCTTCAATACCCGAAGAAGAAGAAGAAGAGGAAGAGGAAGAGGATGACGTGGGTGAAGACGAAGACGAAGGAACCACCGCCCTTGAAACCTCGGCGTCGGAAATGGAGAACGAAGAGGTGGAAGGAGCGGAATCCGGATCAGACATTCTAGAGAGAGAGAGAAGATGTAAAAGATGATCAGAGATGGCGTAACGAAGAAGCTCGCGTTAGGGGGAAAAGGAACCCTAACACAAACCCTAAATGGAGGTCAAGGTGTGAAGGAACAGAGGAGAGGAGAACGCACCTGAGGATCTGCTGCGAGTAGAGCCCATGAAGAGGAAGAAGAAAAGAGGAGAGAGAGAGAGAATTTTACCGGTCGGTCTTCGTCTCTCTTTTTCTCTCTCCCTCGTCTTGAAGGGTAGAGAGAGAGAGTGGGTAAGGACGGAAGTCAGAGCAATTCATTTGACCCGTAGGAACAGTTAGACAAAATAATCGAGAGGTCTTTTCGTAGTTTACCTCTTTGCCCTTTTTTTAACGTAACGGCTATTTCTTTTTAAAAACTCGTTGTATTTTGTAAAATTAAATTTAATAAAAGTCAACCAATATCACTGTATAGATTATTATTATTATTTGGGACTATAGAGTATAACGTGTTTTATTTCAATAGGAGATAATATATCGTCGTAGTCACTATTATACAATCAATATATATATATATATACACACTATGTGCTGTTAGGTGCTATAGTTTTGACTTTTTTGGGTGCCTCCGCGAGTTTATCGATTAGTTATAATCATTTTATAAATCAAGATGTTAGCCATATTGTAATAAAGGTTGATTGTTTGGTTCTTAATTAAATTATTTTTAGGATTGGATTTTTTATTTTATAATAAATTATAACTAGTTCAAATTTGATTTAAACTCATTCTTTATTAAAAATATATTTATTATATATAATTTTAAAAATATGACCAATGGATAATAAATATTTTAAATAATTGGATTATACATTATTCATGCAAAACACTGCGGTCAAACACTAGATTCATAAAACGACAAAAGTTCACGTACTCGTTAATTCTCTGTGGACACGCTACCCTGAAACATAATTCTATTTTATTTATCATTGGTCGTCCAACATTATTTAAATATATAAAATCAACAGGTGGGTCATATAACATTATTTTATGTAAACAATTTAGGTCGTACAACATTTCAGGAAGAAACGTATTATCGACAACCTTACGCCCTGACAAACATCCTCCAACCCTATTTATTGTGAAGTTTTCTCCATCCAATAACCGTGACAGTTTTTGTTTAGACCCAGTGACTGTTTCTGGTTAATTCGCTGGTAAAATACTAAAATGCTAAAAACCGGACCGGTTTAGTACCAGTGGTTATTTCTGGTTAATTCCAGGTCAAAAAGGCTTGGAGAGTTGGGTGTACCGAAATCAAATGGGAACTCGACCGGTAATGACTTCCAGTGAAGGTTTGGTTTCCAATCAGCTTCCCTCAGGACCTTCAGTATCTCCCTCACCACAATCTCACTCGCCAACTCCGTGAAATGTATTCCGTCCCTGTCCAATCAAAACGACGAGTCTTATGAATTGTGAAGTCCCCTCGATATTGAATTGAATCTACTGACGAGTGGGTTTGTTCTTCGTATCTGATGGAGATCGATTGATCAAGACAGAAGAATGAAAGAATAATTTACGTGAAGCAAGTGTTCAACCAATCGTCATGTTGCTGGAATGCGGTCCAAAGATCAATAGCTTTGACATTGATCTCTTCGCATAGATCTACCAACGCGTCTGAGTATATACGACAGAGCTCATTCTTCCGGCCACGGGCTACATCCCTAAGGCAACCGCAACATCCAGATAATATATACAGTCCATAAACTCACATTATAAGGGTAAAACATATATATAGCTCATCCAAGAAATGTACCCGATAGATTCCTGGATTTGTTTCTCGTTCACAGGTGGGGAGGTGAGAAAGATGACCCGGGTCTTGTCGGAAAGGCTCTTCGAAGAGACAAAAAGAAACAAAAAAGGACACGTTTTTAGTCTAAGCGCCTCAAATTACATTCATGCTGAAGTTTAAAAAGGCATTACCAAGAGATGCTCTGCAATTTTCCTCATGTTTTGTATGTATTCAGGTAGAGGGACATGAGCACCTAGGCCTGATGGATGAGGATGCATCGAATCATTCCCACCAAAATAGACTATCACCAATGCAGGTTGAACGGCAGCATTCTTATAGAACATCAAAACCAGACATTGGCCATTGGCAAATAAAGATCTAAACTTTGGAGTAAAAGCAACAGATCAGACTGTAACTGAACTGAAACAGCTCTTTGGAAGAATTTTCCTGGGTTTTTAGTGGTATACCTTTGGGAAAACTTGGTCTATGACCTGCAAACCGAACCTTGAATTCCAACCGGCATATCCCCGCAGGATAATGTCAGCCTGTGAATGAATGCATCAAAAGTCAAAAACACAAAGGATCATTGGGTTAGGAGGAATCTTACAGATCCAAGACTTAAGGGACATAGTGATACAGAAATCAGCTATCATGATGAGATCCGACATTGGTGTCAGATTACGTTTCAGTAACAGTATCCAAACCAAGAACCTTGAGTAAAACACATATTTTTCTTCCCCTTCAGCGAACATCATGCTTCATAGTTCATACTGATTCTTACACGTTCAAAACATGAGAAATTGAAGTAGTCATAGCTATACGTACGTGTATTCACATATTAAAAAGTTGGAACAGGGGCTCATTGAAAGTGAAGAACATGTAAGAATACAGATTTGAATATTGGGGATAATCTCTTTTTTTTTCCCAGAACAGAACGACATTCGTTTACTTTATTTCACCTCAGCGAACCCAAACAAGAAAAAGATTAAAAAAAAAAAGGAAGAGATCTCCACTTGCAAACAGTAAATGGTCACTTCCTGCAGTTTATCACTGCGACAACATGAACTGATGCTCGTACTAAACAACTAAAGAAACACCAAAAATGGAAACATCGTCCTTGAGAAAGCATCATCACGGTAAAAGTTGTATGCACTTGGCAGCAATGATTCTCACTAAAAAAAATATTCAAAACCAGAAAATTCAAACCCATTCGCATTTGATCGTACCAACCGAATTAGTATTAAGCGCTTCAAACCATCGATTTCGGAAAGCAGATATTCAAGTTATAGGATAAAAGAAATTCAGATTTCATAATTTCGAGACAGGAATCGAACTCGAGGAGAATGATATGAAAGAGAATTACGAACCCTGCGAGCGTAGAGATCGGCAAGAATGGCTCCCCATCCGCCATTGATGAAACTAAACTGAACAATGGAAGAACCGAAGAGCACGATCTGAGGTCTTCCAGGCCCCACCATCTCTTCCTCCCTCCGATCGATCCTTCCGCTCTTAGCTTCCGGTGAATGCATAAACCCAATAATTCAAGTTTTTAGGGTTCAAATTTACGGTTAAGGATCATTGGGTTAGGAGGAATCTTACAGATCCAAGACTTAAGGGACATAGTGATACAGAAATCAGCTATCATGATGAGATCCGACATTGGTGTCAGATTACGTTTCAGTAACAGTATCCAAACCAAGAACCTTGAGTAAAACACATATTTTTCTTCCCCTTCAGCGAACATCATGCTTCATAGTTCATACTGATTCTTACACGTTCAAAACATGAGAAATTGAAGTAGTCATAGCTATACGTACGTGTATTCACATATTAAAAAGTTGGAACAGGGGCTCATTGAAAGTGAAGAACATGTAAGAATACAGATTTGAATATTGGGGATAATCTCTTTTTTTTTCCCAGAACAGAACGACATTCGTTTACTTTATTTCACCTCAGCGAACCCAAACAAGAAAAAGATTAAAAAAAAAAAGGAAGAGATCTCCACTTGCAAACAGTAAATGGTCACTTCCTGCAGTTTATCACTGCGACAACATGAACTGATGCTCGTACTAAACAACTAAAGAAACACCAAAAATGGAAACATCGTCCTTGAGAAAGCATCATCACGGTAAAAGTTGTATGCACTTGGCAGCAATGATTCTCACTAAAAAAAATATTCAAAACCAGAAAATTCAAACCCATTCGCATTTGATCGTACCAACCGAATTAGTATTAAGCGCTTCAAACCATCGATTTCGGAAAGCAGATATTCAAGTTATAGGATAAAAGAAATTCAGATTTCATAATTTCGAGACAGGAATCGAACTCGAGGAGAATGATATGAAAGAGAATTACGAACCCTGCGAGCGTAGAGATCGGCAAGAATGGCTCCCCATCCGCCATTGATGAAACTAAACTGAACAATGGAAGAACCGAAGAGCACGATCTGAGGTCTTCCAGGCCCCACCATCTCTTCCTCCCTCCGATCGATCCTTCCGCTCTTAGCTTCCGGTGAATGCATAAACCCAATAATTCAAGTTTTTAGGGTTCAAATTTACGGTTTATAATATTTAAAAAAAATACATTTATTTATTAACATTGTGCGCACTCTTCTGCCTACACGTGGCACATTTCCATATCACTCAAGAAATGTCACACGGTGTTCGGAGAACATAAAGGCTTTTGACTGGACGGAGTTTCCCAGTTTTTTGAAGATTAAAAAACCCAAAAATCATCGGTCAAACTTTTTTTATTTCATTTTTCTTAAAAATCGGATAAGTTATTTTTTTTTAGAAAAGTGATTTTAGAGATTTGTTAGTAGATTTTTTTTATTTTTATTAAAAAATAATTATATAAATTATTTTAAAGATAAAAAATTATATTTTAAAAATAAAGACAATATTCTTACCATTTTTAGCATAATTCATATTTGAAAAAAGTCATATGATTTTTATTATTAGTATTAATAAATATAATTTTTATTTTAATAATAAAAATTCTTTTGGTATTTTTTAAATATAAAATGTAAAACCAAAACCTAAATATTATTTTTACCGATCAAGTTTTCTAATAATTTTAAAAACTAAAAAAACCAAAAACCAAAAACCAAAAATCAAAAATCAAAAACCAAAAATTAAAGTAAAAAACCCAAAATAAAAATCATCCCGGTTCAAAACCAAAATATCTCACGTTTTGATCATGTTTTTTTCACCCAAAAAAACTTTTTAAAAGAAGAGTCAATCTATTAACAGATTTTAATTTTTAAGAAACTAGCATTTTCCAAAACTAACTGACATTGATATAAAAAATCTCATAAATTGGCATTTTTATTTATATTTTAAATGAAATCCTAAACTCCAATCCTTATAAATATATATCATGGTAAAAGTTAATTTAACTCTTTAACAAAAAATAAAAGTTAATTTAACCTGAAAGATAATACTTTTATTAAAACGATGTGTTATTTTTATTAGTTCTTTCTTTCTGACGAGAAAAAAAAAAGCGAGGATATATCTGAGAATGAAATAGACGACCATGCATCTTATCGAAGGCCCTGTACGTAGAGGCCCATTAATACTGTACCTCTAGATGATCTAGAGTCTTTCCTCGGCTTATTTTGTTTTTGGAATTTTCTTTCACTAGATTTATTTTTTGACGCATAAAATAGAAATAGACAATTAGCAAATAGCAACCGAACGAGACAATTGGTCAGTATCCGTACGAAATAGTAATGCACCCTTTGCACCTTGTAACAAATGCAATGACGTGAACATTTTTCTATACAACAATCTCAAATGGTAATACATATACAACAGAGTTCCTCAATTACGGCAAGGTAGTTTATATAAAAAAGATATTAAAAATATACTAATAGATATATAGTCTTAATATAAAAAATATTTTTTATATATGTATATCGCGAATTCGAACCTCCAATTGGAAAGGAGAATATATATTCTAATCGTGTGGTTTACCCTTGATTTCGAGATTAGTCTTATCTTCGTTCCAATAATCCGGTTATAAAAAAAATATGTGTGACCCATAAATATAGAAATAGTTTAACATCCCTATATATATATATATATATATATATATATATATATAAACATGCCAAAAAGAGACAGAGGCCTATGTCGTAGTAAGAATCCAACCATTAGTTTGACAAAAACAAAAACAAAAAATACATTCTCTCTGTTTTTTTCTTGAATATGATGTCCGAATAAAACCTCATAAGTCTCAATGAATCTTGGAAATTTCGAAAGAAGAAAAAAAGACGAAAGAAATGGATAGAGATTTTTCGAAGATAACAAACCGAACCATTTTTAATCTTACGAGTAAGGAAACTTCGCCGAAGCTGTGTTGTTTTATCAGTTTGTACTTACGGCAGTTCATGCCGTCAGTTATGTTTTGTTCTTGTCCATTTATGAATAATATTTAGAATATCATATTTTCTTTTTTGCAAAATAATAATCATTTTCTTATCCATTCTAGAATCTTAGATCTGTAGTTTGGACCTGTAATATGGTTTCGAGTATAAATATATTTTTTTGGTGTTTCAAAATTGTTGTTGTTAAAATAAAAAAATAAAAATGTGATGAGAATAAAATACAGACATTAAAATATAATTGGAAATAATAATGGATACAATATTATTATACCAAATATTGTGTATCTAATTTATTTCTATTATATCTATATTTTTTTAATTTTGTTTGTTAATTTTTTTACAAATACCTGAGCCAATTTAATTATAATACAATAACAAAAACAAAGATCGTAATAATAAAAATAATTTCGTTTTTTTTTTCATTATCTTATTTTATTTTGTAATTTATTTTTTCAATAGTTATAGGGTCGAGTTTTTTTTTTCTGGTTCTATAGAATAGAATAAAATATAAACATCATGTGTGTGTATTTATTAATAAATATATACGTGACGTGACCGTGAATAATTTAAAAACTTTGTTCAACTTGTGCAGTCTTACCAATAATCATTTAGATTAATCAATTGAATATGTTGAATTTAAATTTTGAAAACAAGGTTTCGCCAGCAATGTTAAATACGAGTAATGGAAATGAATGATGTGAAATTAATGTGTATAAATATATGGATGAGGATGAGTATATTATGTGTTTTCTGCTGATATCGACGACTATAATTGTATAATTTTTAGGTTTAAGCGCTATAATTATTCATAGCCACATAATCAAATATTGTTGTAGATATGGACCCGAATCCGTGGGAATGATTATAAAATCGAATAAATATCCTTTAGTTAGGAATATTTTCGAATGTCTTATTATCGGGTTTATGGGTTTATTTTCAATCTGGTTGGTATTTGATTATACTGAGGTTCATATCTTTCTTGACAAATTAACATTCCTCTTAATCCATACAATTTCGTTCTAATAGTTTAAATATTTTTATTAATCTATATAGAAAAGAATCATCGTTTGGAATCATATATGTTTCTTTTTCTAAGGATTTACGCGGGTGATTTCGTGGACTTGGAAAACGGTGAATAATTTGATTATATGTTTTCAACTGTTTTATGTTATATAATATCAATAAATTATGTGAATAAAATATAAACAAAGAAGGATGTTAGAAATGCCAAATTAATCATGAGCTGTTTGTATTATTATTACATGCCACGTATAAGATATGTTCATAATTCTCTATAAAGTCAAGCTAATCAGGATCATTAAAACAAATCTTGCCTTAATTAAGAAAATATGTTCATAAATTTTTACAGAATCCAAAAATAAGGGCCAATGAAAATCTTCTATTGACCAAGAAACAGACAGTGGGTGGTACGTAATGGAGATCTCGTGACCCAATAAGAAAAAGTAAAGCTTTCTTACAAGCATGTGATCAATTAAAATTAAAATATTTTTTTATTTAAATCAAATAAATTAAAATATATAATTAAGTTGTTACTAGTAAAATTATTATTTACGTAATGAACATAAAAACAACTCAAATAAATTTGAGAGTATTATTATGCATGTGCGGTTGATTTTTTTTTTTTTGAAACGACATATATTTGATAATTGAATTATACATTGCAGGTATGGATAATAGGGTAGCTTGCCACGTGTACTTTACAAGGTTTTGTGAATTTCCCCGAGCCCAACGGACACTCTCTTGTCTCTTTATCCATCCCCAACCCGAACCCGAACCAGTGCACAATATCTTCTCGTCTTAGAAAAATGCAAAGATTAATAAAGAGAGTTATTGGAAAGAGATCTTAAAGTGTCGGTCCAAATATTTCATCCCAAATTACTTTCGAACAAATATCATTAATCAGCATCACATATAGAATGATTGTTTTTGTTTATAAATAAAATACTGAAAGAAACGAGCTTCCTTTGATATTCAATATGCACGTGATTAGTGATTATAGAATCAGATTTTTTTAATAAATCATTTTGTATCCATTTTATTTTCTTACCCTCACATTTTGACCATGCATGCAGATTTACCAAAAAAAAAGTCTATGTATTAAAGTAAAAAGGAAACTTCCTGGAAATTGCGTGTGGACCCCACAAGATTCCATAAAAACCAATATATGTTTATCAACACCTGAACCACTGAGTGAAACCCAGGAAAAAGATTACTTTTGAAACTTGGATCCGACAGGGAAAATGGGGAGTGTGATTGCGGAGGAGAACGGAGGGGGGAGCATGATGATGAAGGGTTCGAGCAGAGAGCTTAGACATGGGAGAACGGCTCATAACATGTCTTCTTCTTCGCTGAGGAAGAAATCCGATCTCAGAATCATCCAGAAGGTTCCGTGCAAATGTCTTAAAGATTTCCTCGCCAATCTGCAGGAAGTCATCCTCGGAACTAAACTCTCTGTCCTGTTTCCCGCCATCCCTCTCGCCATTATCGCCACCTCCTTCGGCTTCTCCCGCGTAACTTCTCTCTCTCTCGCTCTCTCAATTAATCTTTCAATTTCTCACATCCATGCATGCATATATATACATACATGGGTGTGTGTGTATTGCAACAATGATGTTCAAAATAAAGATTTTGCAATTTTGAAAACTAATCGATGGGTTTGCATTAATATTGGATTTAATTTATACTGTTTTATTCATTTTTGTCGAGCGTTTTTTTCCTTTTTTCTGATGTGTATAGTATGGTATACACTATACACATGTCATGTCATGTCATGTCATGTTTGTATCTTCCATTCTATGTGTGTCATGGTTAAATGTCTCAAAATATTGCCACAGTTGGGAATTTTATGGAAAAAATCGTGTATTTTTTTTATTAAATAGATCAAACCTTTGGGGAAAATATTGTAATTTCAGCCCCAAAATGAAGAGCATTTGGCCGAAAAACGTTTTATTTTAATTTGAAAACTATGAAAATAAATCAATGTCATCATACAAAGTTTCAATTACTTTCATAGGGATAGTTAGGTTAGATTCTTTAACAATTAAATACCAGATTTATTTAATTAATTATGTATTTATTTATTTGTGATGCGAAAACAGCCATGGATATTTGTATTTAGCTTGCTGGGACTGACACCTCTGGCCGAGCGCGTCAGCTTTCTGACAGAGTAAGTCGTACGACCGGATCCATGAAATCAAATTTTAAATTTATTGTCACATCAAACATTTTAATTTGTTTATATATAAAATGCCACGTTAATTACGTACATCACCGATTAATCATATCAACCATACGCGTGTATATACATATATAACGCTATATCCATGCCACTTTGTCAGTGTAAGATTTGATGCCGGGGTACACGTCGTCAATGATCACGATAATATTTAAAATAATATATAGGCGATATCTATATTAGGGGATTTTGTTAATATAGTAAAATATTATACATTTTTAAAAAGTTTCGATAAAATAACTTCAATTTAGAATTCAGTTTAAAGGTATTTTTGAAATAAAAAATGTTGTTTTAAAGAATCTTTTCCTAATGCTGTTATTTTAATTGACAAAATTTATGATTTTTGGGTAATTTAGCTAATGACTCGCTACATTTCATATTGTAATAAATTTATCCCGAAATCCAATTCTAACTCTTCATTCATGGTTTCGTGCAGGCAAATTGCTTTCTACACCGGTCCCACATGTAAGAATTCCATACCATTATTCTCATACCTATTGTTTATTATATATATATATATATATATATATATATGCGTGCGTTACAGATGTAAAGTTTTATTTAATATACATGTATATATAAATAAAGTAAATTTGTTTTTTTAATAATGTGGGGATATGTAAAAACGCAGTGGGAGGTTTGCTGAACGCGACGTGTGGAAACGCGACGGAGCTGATAATAGCGGTGTTTGCGTTAGCGAATAGGAAGATCGATGTGGTGAAATACTCATTGCTCGGTTCCATTCTCTCCAACCTCTTGCTCGTTCTCGGCACTTCCCTCTTATGCGGCGGCATTGCCAACCTCCGTAGAGAGCAACGGTTCGACCGGGTATGTATGTTCCGGTTTACCACAACTGCTTTGACCGGGTATAGCTTAGCCTTTGGCTAGATAGTCTGCTTTTCGGTTATGGTGGATCATGAATACCAACCTGGTTTGTCCATTGACCAATTCGGTTATAGTTGAACCGGGTACACTCACGATACCAAAATATTTTGGTTTTTGGCTTCATCTATCATGCTAAAACTTTTAGAATCGATATGGATTTCGGCGAATCGAGACATCAGAACACAAAACCGGCCGGATCATCAATTGATCGGTTTTGTGTAATATTGAACCGGATTCTAAACCGGTTAGGCTCCACGATAATACGATGATATGATTTCTTTTTATTTTGGCTTCGTCTGTCAGGCTGGACTGTTTAGAATCGATACAAAACCAGGTCATCAATTGATCGGTTTTGTGTAGGTCTGAACCGGTTTCTATACCGGTTAGGCACATTGATACAATACGTTGATATGATTTCTCTCTGTACATCAGAGACAATCAGATGTGAACACCTTGTTGCTGCTGATGGGGCTGCTCTGTCACTTGCTGCCATTGTTGTTCACATACGTCGGAGGAGGAGACTCTTCTTCTTCCTCTACGATTTCCGACGCCACTCTCAGTCTCTCCCGGGCAAGCAGTATCGTCATGTTGATCGCTTACGTCATTTACATCGTCTTCCAGCTCTGGACTCATCGTCAGTTGTTCGAGTCCCAAGAGGTACCTATACTTACGTATAAAGTAAATTACGTATATGATAATCTTCTGGAATATTCTCTATATCTCTCTGTTGGTTACGAAATGATTTGTTAAATTTCCTGACGGGCAGGACGATGAGTACGATGATGATGTTACCGATGATGAAACTCCCGTGATCGGATTCTGGAGCGGATTCGCTTGGTTGGCCGGGATGACTGTTGTCATAGCTTTGCTATCAGAGTATGTCGTGGCCACGATCGAGGTAACTACGAGCCCCGTATATGAAATATTGTCGTATATATACACGAAAACATCATTCGGACTAATGCGATTTATCTTTGTCAGGATGCTTCGGACTCTTGGGGATTATCAGTCAGTTTCATAAGCATAATATTGCTTCCCATTGTCGGAAACGCGGCCGAGCACGCGGGAGCCATCATTTTTGCCTTCAAGAACAAACTCGTATGTTTTCCGAGTTCCTTCATTCTTAGTTCTAGAATCTTCTAGATCAAAACCCGGGTTCTGAACCCTCTGTCAATGAAATATTACAGGACATATCTCTTGGCGTCGCGTTAGGTTCCTCGACTCAAATCTCCTTGTTCGTGGTAAGCTCCCTAAATCTCCTTGGTCGGTTTGTTTAAAGGGTTCAGGGTTTGACGATTAAATCTCGAAAATGATAATCTTACAAAAATCCGAGGATGTCGGTTTGTGTTAGGGTTTAGATGAAATCTCGAAAATGATGATCTTAAAAACCGAAGTCGATGTTGGCTTGTTATTGGGTTTCGAATTTAGGGTTTAACGATTAGGGTTTCTGTCAGGTCCCATTGTGCATTGTGGTGGCGTGGATTCTTGGAATCGACATGGATCTCAACTTCAACATCCTGGAGACAGGTTCTCTTGCCTTGGCGATTATTGTCACAGCTTTCACCTTACAGGTTACATTTTTTATTTTTTACATTATATTTCAATCTCACTCATTTAATTTATAATCACTGGATTTTAATTTTTATGTTTCTTGGTACGTCAGGACGGAACTTCTCATTACATGAAGGGGCTTGTACTCTTGCTCTGCTATCTCATCATCGCCGCCTGCTTCTTCGTCGACAGAATCCCTCTACGTAAGTTTGATTTCCATAGTTTTCTCTAATATTTGATGAAAAAACATGCTTTTTTTGTACGGTCTTGGGTCTGTAAGTATTGACATGTCCTGTTTCTCAGAACAACCGAAGGCGAGCGGCTTGGGACTTCAACCGTTGACCATCGTCGGCAGCGGGGGAGAAGTCTTCTCAACTTCTTCTGTCTGAAAATCCCAACGGATTCAGTGAGGACCTGATGATGAAGGCAAGGCTCATCTCCCTCTGCCTTTGGAGGGCCCTTCTGATCTCTCTCTCTCTAGAGTTTTGTTCTGTCTCTTTGTTTTTGCTTTTCTTTTCTTTTTTTAATATGTGCCAAATTTATTTTTGATTGCAACCTTAATAAGATCATATCAATGGTTCTTTTGTTTTTCGTTTTTGTTTGCGCATCTCTCTTTGGTGGTTAATGCAAACTCAAAAGAATACACTGAGTTCTAAAAAAATATGTATTATTTAGTATATAATGAAATGATAATGTCAATATGTCTCTTTTATTTGTAATGTTATTGACAAAAAAAAAATTTGAATTTAGTTATCGAAATTTCAACAATAACAACTGATTAGATCTAGCTCAAAATAACGGGTTTTAATAGTAAAAAATATTATACACAAAAAAATTTATAATTTAAACATCAGTATAAAATCCGCCAGGGAAACAGCATTTTTCTTTTATGTAATTAAGAACACAAAATAATTAGAAAAAGATATAATACACCTTTGATTCATTGTCCTACGTAAGATAGAAATATTTTGACATTCGAATTTAAAAATGATCTAACGAAAAATTGGATTAAAATGACAACTCCAATATCTAAATTTTATATATATATATATATATATATATATATATATATGTATGCTTATACATAGACATATATATATAATCGACTTGACGGCCTCAATTTACACTGGTAAAGGCCCAAAATCGTAAAAAGCCTTCTCTTTCAACTATAATGGGCTGATAAAAAGAACCATTTGTGGGCCCATAAAGCCCATTCTACTGTTCACGAGCTGTAAACAACACCAATTCCGATTCTCGCGCCGTCGGGGGACCAAATACACAAAGGTTTGTTTTTTTTTTTTGGATGAAATTTGTGGTATACTACAGGATCCTCGATCCACACTAAGGGAGAGTTACAGTGAGAAATTGGGGAAAAATCGATTTTAGTAATTTAATTTAATTCAATTTTAGTAAAACAGTATAAGATTGAATATATATATATATATATATATATATATATATGTTTAAAAACAAAAGAAATATATTTTTTTGTGAAAAAATAAACAAAATATTCCATTATCATATAAACATCAAACTCCAGCTTTGTTCTCCCCTTCAATTCTCCTTTGTTTTGTTGAAACTAACAACCTCTTTGACTTTATCTTTTTCTCTGTAACCATGGATGAAGAGAAAGCGATACTCAAACTTCAGTCCCTTGAATCCACCAGTTTCGTCCCCCTTCCAAGCCCCTCGCCGGCGAAAACTGGTGTTGTACGGTTGCGCCGCTGTGGCCGGCACAATTCCGGCGGAAATGGCGGTTTCGCGTCTCGCTGGAGCAGAAGTGCGAGCAGAGGGAATTCGCTCCGACGCCGGTTCAACCCCTGAGGCATCCGCTCGCGATTCTCGCTCTCGTCCCCAAGGACGCCGCCATCTTCGCCGCCGGAGCCATCGCCGGAGCCGCCCGCGAAGACTGTCATGACTCATCGCTCCACTCGACCGCATCAAGATTCTCATGCAGGTTTTGGCTCTTTCAGTATCATTCGATATTTATTCTTCTGACTCCAGTTTTTTGAAGGAGCAAAGATTAACATCTTAGATAGGGATTTACGTTTCATATTTGGAATTCAAAATTCCATCCCAAGGATTCATACATAGAGGATTACAAATATTGTTAAATTTATTCATTGTCTTCTGTTTTTTCTTTTAAAAAATTTCAGAAATATAAGTTATAGGTTGTCTTTTTTGCCTTGGATTGATCTGCAGTCTCATGGGGTACGAGTTGGATATCAGAGCGGGACGAAGGCAATTGGTTTTATAGAGGTTAATTTGCGTATCAACAATGTTCATACTTTTTCCTGTTTCACTCTTTATCTATAGTGTTCATACTTTTGTTTGCCTTATGCTATTTGGTCGAAGGACCGGAATTGACAATGTTCAAGATTATACACACAAGATCTATCCTTTGCTCCGTCCTTGGCATTATGCCTCTAATGTTAAAACTGTTTTAGCTGACGCTTTTATGTTTTGAATTTAGAAATTATTCAAAGGGAAAAACGGCGAGCTCTGAGTAATCGGAAGACTTGCAGCAGGTTCTTGTGCTGGCATGACATCTACTTTCGTAAGTAATTGTGGCACAATAGATTTTCTAAGTTGCCGCTACTATTTTGCTCTCCTCAAGTTTAGTGAACCCTGGCCAACATTTTTTCTATATCTATTTCCAAACTAAATCATAACTCAATTTGAAACCTAGCGCTCATGTTTTTGTTTGTCCAATTCAGGACTAATATTTTCTTGAATTCCGAGCATATAGGTATGTTGATTTATCAAGCTGCTTTTGAACTTGATGTCTATGCAGATAACGTATCCATTAGATGTCTTGAGATTAAGGTTGGCAGTTGAACCTGGGTACTGAACCATGACTCAGGTAAAGAATTGAATTCGTACTCAAAAGTAGAGCCATGCCCTTGTTTGCTTATGCAGATGTGATGTCATGCATATTATGGATTGATGGTATGTGTCTGCATGCAGGTTGCTTTGAATATGCTCCGTGAAGAAGGAATTGCATCCTTCTATCATGGCCTCGGACCATCTCTTGTGGGGATAGCTCCGTACATCGCTGTCAACTTCTGCATTTTCGATCTGTGAGCCCGCTTTTGTATTCTCTCCCGTGTTTTTTGATGCACCCGAAAAAGAGAGGAGAGAAACTAGAGCGGGAACTGACGTCTGATGAAAAAACAGAGTGAAGAAGTATTTACCAGAGAAATACAGAGAAAAGGCACAGTCATCGAGCTCGAGGTTGAAAAGGAAAAGGCACCATCAAAATCTCCCTAGAGGCAGAAGGAGTTAGTCGTGAGCATTCATCAAGCGCTCTTGTTTTGTTTTGTGTATGTGTGTTTTAGGAAAAGTTTTGGTAGAAGTGAGCTGTTGCTGTGTTGGATTAGATGCAAACCAAATGGGTAGAAATTTTGTTAGCCTAAATCCCTTTCCACAAACCTAAAGGCTTCTGAAACCGTGAACCGTACAAATTCACCCGTCATTTCCACACACACGCTCAGTCTCCTTTTTTCCATATCTTCATTCAACTTCCATTTCCTATACAATGCTGTGTTACTGTGTGTCTTACGAACACGCACGCAACGCAACGAATCACATTTGCCCAAGCAAGAAACACTAAACCTCCATTATCAAATATAAGCTTACCCCTGACCTTCGTCGTAATTACGGCGATGCCATTAGGTTTGGTTAAAGGCTTAAAGCTCCCTGTCTTTCCAAGCCCCCGGCCGCTCTCCATCTCGGTTTCTCTTCTGCTTTTTTTTTTTTTTTGTTTTAAATCTCACTGTCGATTCTCATCTATCATACGCTTTCTGGTCTCAACCTCTTAAGTCTCCGCCGCCGCCTACTCTCTCTCTCGATCTCTCTCAGCCTCCCCCGTCTCTCTCTCGCGATCTCAGGTTCGATTTCGATCCCTCTTATCTCCTCTCACTTATTTGGTTAAAGTTTCTCTCGCCTCCTCCATCATTCTCGTTCGATTTCGATTTTCCTGTCGAACCGTATGTCTCTCTAAAAAATATATATGTACACTCCTAGTTATTATTTTTATTTCGTGAAAGCTGTTTATCGGAATCTAGTTTTTGAGTTTTGACTTGATGGGTTTGTTTTGGGCTTTCTGATTCAGGGTCGAAAAGGATCAGTTTCTCCGCCCCTTTGACCTAATGTTTGTAAAAGTAGCCTGAGTTCTGACTCTGTCTTTGGAAGGAAGCTAAGATGACGCCAATGGTCCGGAGAATGGCTGCTTTCGCATTTGCTTCTGCCTCAGGTTTAGTTCAGATTCATCCCCTGGGGAGAGGTACTCTGAACAATTTCTCACATTGTTCCTCTGTTTTAAGTTGTCCGAGATCGGCTTTTTCCGGTATTAGATATTGCAGTGTATCTTACCGAGACAGATTGAGATGTGGGTTTCATGATTGCCATGCCGAGGATGCCATTGATTTGTTCGATCAGATGGTGGAGTCTCGTCCCTTACCGTCCATCGTTGATTTCACTAAACTATTGAGTGCGGTCATGAAAATGAAACGGTATGATGTTGTGATTTCCCTCTGCGAGAGAATGGAATTGCTTGGGGTTTCACATAATATCTATTCGTACAATGTTATGATCAACTGTTGCCGCTCTCATCAAGTGGTTTAGGGCTTATCTGTTGTGGGAAAAATATTGACACTCGGTTACGAACCTGATGTAGTCACCTACACTACCATAGCTCATGGGTTCTGTATCCAGGGCAAGATTTCCGTGGTGTTTAGCTTGGTTGACCAAATGGTGAAAGAATGATACAAACCTAATGTTGTAACATTTAACACTTTGGTCAACGGATTTTGCTTTGAGAGTAGAGTTTATGAAACATTGAGTTTACTTGACCAAGTGCTAAAGATGGATTGTCGACCCCATAGAGTTTCATTCGGCATTGTTATAAATGGGGTCTGCAAGGCGGGGATTTTGCGTTGGCCATGAATCTGCTCATGAAGATGGAGGAAATGCGTACTGAGATCGATGTCATAATTTCTAATACAATTATTGATTTTCTTTGCAAAGCTGGACACATGGATGATGCACTGAACCTTTTCGAAGTGATGGGTAATGTCGGCATTGTACCAAATGTTGTTACATACACCTCTTTGGTTAACGACCTTTCCAGATTTGGTAGATGAGACGATGTTGCCCGATTGTTGAGTGAGATGGTGAAAAAGGAAAATCACCCGTGGTGTTGTCACGTTCAATGGATTAATCGATGCACTCCTTAAAAAGGAAAGGTTTCTGGAGGCTAAAGATTGTACGAGGAGATGATCCGAAGAGGTTTAGTTCCAGATACTATTATTTATACTTCATTGATCAATGGTTTTTGCCTGCAGAACCGTCGTGCCAGGGCAGAACAAATGTTCAATTATATGACCACCAAGGGATGTTTTCCTAATACCGTGACTTTTGATTCTATGATAAATGGTTACTGCAAGGCTAATAGGTTCGATAAGGGTATGAATCGCTTTTATGAGATATCTCGAAGAGGATTGGATGTCGATTCATTTACTTACAACATCCTCATCCAAGGGTTTTATTGAGTAGGCAACCTTGATGCTGGCCAAAAGTTTTTCCGGGAGATGCATTATAAGGGTCATCATCATAATCTTATAACTTACAACATTTTGCTTGATGGTCTTTGTAAGAACGGAAAAACGGACAAGGCACTTGGTCTATATAATAAGCTGCAAAAGAGTGGGATTGACCTCCATATATCTTTCCATAATGTCATGATGCATGGTTTGTGCAAGGTTGAGAGAGTTGACGAGGCATTTGTATTATTTGATAGGCTTCTTAAGAAAGGGGTGAAACCGAATGTTATCACGTATAATATAATGATCTCCGGACTTTGCGGAAAAGGTTCACTCTATGAAGTCGAAAAGGTAATTGGGAAGATGAAAGAAGATGGTTGTTTTCCTGAAGGTGGTACATGTAACGCATTGATCAGGGGTCGTCTCAGAAGTGGCTCTCCATCGATGGTTATCGAGCTGATACAAGAAATGCAGAACAATGGGTTTTCTATGCATGCATCGTCCTCAACTACGATAACATATATGGTATCTGAAGGCAGGTTGCAAAAGGGGTTTTTGGATCTCCTCTCTTAAGTTTGTAAGTACTAAAAAATTACATGGATGTTTGTTTGAGTGTGTATATATAATCGAGATCTCCTTTGATGCCATCTGTTTAACGTGTTTGAGTGTCATGACTACATTACATTTATTCCGACTTTGATACTTGTAATGTTTTTTTCCTGAACATATTAGGTTCTGGTGAATGAGAAGATTTATGGGATGATGTAAGTGTCCTTGCTAATTTAGAGAGAGAGGAGAGTTTAGCATTGTGGCCTTAGATGATGATACTTGTCTTGTCTTGGGATTTAATCCTTTCCTGAGACGGAAAAGACGACTGCATAAAATTAAATTAATATGATTTGTACAAGCCCATTTGGATTTTAATTAACTGTTACACAAATAAATTCAATTGAATAATATGTATATATATATGATTTTGATGCTAGCAGTTCTGGGTTTTTTTTTTTGAATAGCCTACAAAACGGAAAGAAACGAGATTATTCCGACCAGCCTAAGTCTCGTCCCACTCTAATAATTGCCTAATGATCATCCAAGGATCGACGACTTTGAGTGTAATTATAGTGTAATAATCATAACAGCCCCAATGATAAAATTAAAAAAAAAATCAAGAGAGGAGAATGAAGAAATCATGCACTTATACACAATTAAACGTCGGTCATACCCTAGTTTCCATTTCTGATTGTTTTTCAACCAAAAAACAATACACATTTGACATTAGACCCCAATAATTTTATCTGTTTGGTTACTGGAGATACATTATCCCGACAGTACAGCTAAAACAAGATACGGTGTTATATAATATATTCCTAAGAATATGAGCGGTGGTTCCCACATCCTTCAAGCATATAATATATTCCTATAACATGCAATGGACCAACCTCCCAACAAAATGTTTTAAAATGTAAATGATCGCTGTAACTTACAAGTTGTAGCAAAGCTAAATGCACACGTTCTGATCAGTGGATCAGCAATTAGATACGTGTGATTTCATCCATAACACAAGCCTTGAAATCAAGAAAGGTGACTTAGCAAATCATAATTTTTTTTTAAAAAAACAGTTGAGGAGATTGTAATGTCTTTTACTTAGTCGTAAGCCATGTTTGCATGAAACCAAACACATTTAAAATATTCATTTCATTGACCAATAACCACCCAAATAATGCTATTTCTAAGCTGGAAAAAAAAAACACGAACACGAAAACGAATACCAAGCAGAGGGTAAGACATTATAATGGTCAAGTTCACCCTTATATTATATACCAGATGGCATTATATACAACTTTCCTTAATATGCGAGTCCACCGTTTATATGATTATAGTATAAATCCTTATACGAACGCTGCATATATATATATATATATATATGCAATATGCGAGTCGTAACTAAAAGGTTTTGGATTCTTTCCAACGTAAAGCCAAGGAAGATGCCGAGGAAGAGTTTAACTTTAACTCACCAGTTTTCCACCACCTCTTACGGTGTCGTCACCATCCTCGTCTTTTCCGCTATATTGTATCTCGTCTACTCGGATTTCCGTTCAGACATTTCCTCCTTCAGCGGACCATACTCGGGACCCGTCAAGATCCTTCCCGACATATCCCCAAAGTCGGGAACCAATGCCAATTCAAGCATCGGCCCCATGGCCAATTCATACTCACTGCAAAAAACACGAGGAAAGGAAGAGAACGAGGATGAAGACGAGGAAGTGGATCCATTGATACCTCCACTTAATGCGAGCAAGGAAGAGAGGATTATATGGTTCAGGGAAAAGTTACCAGAGCTCGAAATACTCAACTCGACAAGCAAGAGTCGGAGATTCCACGGACGAGTACTAGATTTTTTCAAAAACAACTGCTCGGCTCAGTTCTTCATGGTATGGCTTTCCCCGGCCAAGACTTTCGGGCCTAGAGATTTCTTAGCCATCGACACTCTCTTCAGCACCAATCCAGATGCTTGCTTAGTGATCCTATCCCACACTTTGGATTCCCCGAAAGGATACAACATCCTTAAGCCATTTCTTGATCGAGATTTCCAAGTTCTTGCAGTAACCCCGGATGTTCCGTTTCTTGTCCAAAACACTCCGGCAGAGTCGTGGCTGAAGAGGTTAAAGAGCGGGACCATGGACCCTGGTTCTATCCCCTTGTTCATGAATCTCTCCGATCTGACAAGGCTTGCAGTGCTGTACAAATATGGAGGAATCTATCTAGACACCGATATCGTATTCTTGAACGATCTGACGGGCCTGAGAAATGCGATTGGGGCACAGAGTGTGCATAGAGTAACGGGAAGATGGACAAGGCTAAACAATGCGGTGATGATCTTTGATATCTACCATCCACTTCTGTTTGAATTCTTGAAAGAGTACGCCACGAATTTCGACGGCAATAGATGGGGATATAACAGCCCTTACCTGGTTTCGAGAGTCATCGAGAGATTAGGAAACAAACCCGAATACAATCTCACAATCTTTCCACCTGATGCCTTTTATTCGGTGAATTGGATTAAGATCCCGAGGCTTTTCAAAAATCCTGCAAGCACAGACGAAGTAGGATGGGTGGAGAAGACGGTGAATAACATGAGCAGCCATAGTTACATGATACATCTCTGGAACAAAGTGACACGGCAAATGGAGATAGAGGAAGGAAGCGTCATGCACAGACTAATATCAACTCACTGTACAATCTGCCAAAACATTACAAATTCCCATGTATAATGAAAAGTATAATATTCATGGTGAGAGACAGGACAAGACAAATGTAATGTTCGTGAAGTATATGTTATTTTTACCTCCATTTGTTTTTCTCTTCGTTTACGTGCCATGTTTAGTAATATTTTCGTCAGCATAATTCAGTTTACCTTTTTCAGTTGAAATGATTTTGGAATCTGCTTATTGCTTCAAACTCTCCACCTGGTGAGAACTAAATTTCTTCTTAAGGTCTCAATAACTTCTTGCCCTTAAAAGGTTCACAGCCCAAACTCGAGATCACTCAACCACAGAGATGATCGTGTGAGAGCTCATCAGTCAAGATCATCATGTTAATAACACCACCAAACTAAAACAAGAAATCACAAACAACAGGAACATATGAATCTCGAAAGCAAGCTTTTAGAAACAGCATCCTGATTAATTGAAAGTTAATCAGGTAGTGGCTCCCAACCAAGTCTCCTTAAAGAAATGAAACATCAAAAAATTCCCAAACAAGCTGATAGTATACTATAATTAGGCGAAACCTAATTAAAAAGGGTTCATAAAGTGGTTAAATCCTAAGTGCTTGACACTACCGGATAAGAAATACATGCACCATCCAAAAGTACACCATATGTTGCATGTTTCATACAGCTTAATTCAACTCTAAGAAATCATACCGGCTTTGTCTTTCCTATTAAAATTGTGACCGCACGCGTTATAGATCCCCATGTGTCTTTCCTATTAAGATAATACTAAGAGTTAGTGGTAAGCACATCTTAAGTTTTTGTCATACGCTCCATGATATGACAACCAAACTCGCATATAACAATTGACCTACCCTCAAAACGAAAGAGTCAACGAATATATAATGTAATTTGCTATAAGTTGGGCTGTAATAAGTTAAAACACAAAGAACGACAAAATATCTTAAAGATAACTTACAAATTGGAGGAGAATCCACCGAGAACTGATCAGCAAATAATTTGCCTCTAAGCCCGATGTAGTGAGTGCTTCCAGAACACAAGCTAGCAAATGAAGAAGGAGAATCAGCAGAAGCTTAACCAGAATCTTTAATTCTTCCCTGATAACATGTACCATGAACTGTCCTATTAAAAAAAAACGCATTTAAAATATATGGTTCTTAGACCAAATCAAAATAAACTAACAAAATATTGCTCTTCTAGGATGGAAAATAAAAATGAATTAGTGGATAGAAATTTTCTTAGCCTAGTTCACGTCCAATATATCAGATGCATTGGCTTCGGGTCCAATGTAAATTCCCTTCCTTGATTTTCCCCCTGTTTCCTTTCTACAACCCTAAAGGTTTTTGAAACCATGAACCAAGATGATGAGAAGAGTCCCTGGAAAGTACCTGATTGCAGCCAGCCCAAGCATACAAATTCGCCCATCTTTTCTACACTCATATTCTTGGCAGTAATGTTGCTCATTGTTGCAGGCAATATCTTCTCCAACATATCTCTAGAGTCGAGCACCTTCAATGTCGAAGCAAGCTCCGAGGTGATACCGACGAAGAACATCAACTCCAACATTATGATAGCATCCAAAAAGAGCAAGAGGAATGATAATCACTGGGAAATGCCAAACCCCTTGACTCCACCGAAGAATACAACAAGCAAAGACAGAATTGCATGGCTCTGTATGCACCTGCCAGAGTTTGAGGTTTTCAGGTCAACCAATCTCTCCAAGCAGTTTAATGGCAGGGTCCTGAAATTTTTCAATGAAACATGTGAAGTTAGATTCTTCATGACATGGATAGCACCAGCACAGGTTTTCGGCAGAAGAGAATTCCGAGCCGTGGAAAGTGTTTTCAAAGCTCATCCTAATGGATGCTTAATGATTGTTTCAGGATCCATGGATTCTCCGCAAGGAGATAGCATCCTCAAACCGCTACTTGATCGCGGTTTCAGAGTTCTGGCAGCCACACCAGACTTCCAGCTGTTGCTTGAGAACACCCCCGCCAAAGCTTGGTTTGATGAAATCAGAAGCTGCAAAAGAGATCCCGGAAGGATACCATTATCCCAAAATCTATCAAATCTTGCGAGGCTCGTGATTATATACAAGTATGGAGGGGTTTACATAGACACGGATTTCATTGTTATGCGAAGCTTTAAAGGGTTGAAGAACTCAATTGGGGCACAGACAGTGGATGAACAGTCAAAAAACTGGATCAGGTTGAATAATGCAGTCCTGATCTTCGAGAAGAATCACCCACTTGTCTACGGATTCATTGAGGAATTTGCTTCAACTTTTGATGGTAACAGATGGGGCCACAATGGCCCTTACTTGGTAAGCAGAGTAGCTAAGAGAGTAGAAGGAGAAATTGGAAAGAACTTCACAGTCTTGTCACCAACAGCATTCTACCCATTTAATTGGATAGAAATCCAAAGCCTGTTTAGGAAGCCAAAGAGCTCAAATGAAACAAGATTATCCGAAGCCGAGCTGCTCAAACTGAACAAAGAAAGTTATGGGATGCATCTTTGGAACAAGAAAGCCAGAAATCTTCCAATCGAAAAGGGTAGTGTCATAGACAGAATAATCTCAGAAAACTGTGTTATTTGCGGAGAGACTCCGAGATGAAGAAAAGCAAAATGGCTTCAAATGACAACTGAAAGTGACTGTTTCCAGGTTTCACATTTCTCCCCTCTTGTATTTCCATTTCCACTATTTGTTGTTTCTCGTGTAGACAAGAGCAAAAGGAATTTGTGTCCTGAACTAGAATGCTAATAGAACTAGAACCCTGGACACCTCTTCCACCATGTGTCCTGAGAAAAAGGACTTTTGCTTGGCTTTTCTATTTTGTCTTTAATGTTTAAGTTCAAATGCCCTTCCACCCAAGTTGGAAGTCGAAGGAAAACCTATTGGACAATAATCTTTGATTTGGTAGAAAAGGTTTTGTCAGTTACTCGGTTTAAATGGAAGTCTTTCATTTGAATAAATGGAAGTTCCGTTGCAAGTTCATCATAAGAAAAAAGCTCAAGGAAGAAATCAAATAGGAGTCAGAAATCATGTCCACCATCAAATGGACATATGGGTTCTGAATGAAAGAAAAAAGCTTCCGGGACAATCGAGTGTTTTAATTCGTGACAGAAAGAAGTAATGTTACTTATATTTTGAATTCAGGGTCTTTACATTGATGATAAGTTTAAAAACTACGTTGACGTAAGAAAACGATATTGTAAAAAACTTAATAAAAAATCGTATATAATAATGAAATACCAGAAAATATATGAAGAGACATAAATAATCATGACAGACTAAATAGAAAGCTAAACTTTGGACTATCCTACATGAAAAATCAGCAGCTAGGAATTGTATGGTTGCCACAAGTGTCATTCGAAAAATGCTATGAAAGCCATTGAATATGACATATTTTAAAAAATAATATTTAACAAAAACGTAAAGTAAAAAAGAGACACCAAATAAACAGAAAATAGCAACTTACGTATTTAACAGAAAAAAGAAATGGAAAAGAATATTTAAAAGGGAAAATTATACGAAAATTAAAAATGTAAAGTATAAAGAAATTAACAAACGAACAAAATAACAACTTGCATAGTTAAACAAAAAAAAAATACAAATGGAAAGGAAGATTTAATAAAAAAAAAAGAGGGCTCGAGAAGATTTAAAAGGGAAAAATCAAAATTGGAAATCTAAAAGAAGGAACCTTTCCATGTGCATAAGTTCCTATAAATGATTTGAGAGTATTGCCAATCCAACACCCTTAATCACATGTTCACTTCAAATGTTGTTTTTTCCAAAAACTTCGACTTTTGATCTTTTTTCCATATTATATTTTTTCAAATAAACATTTTGTAATAGAAAATAAGATAAAGTAGCAATGCAACTGCAGAATTTATGGTTGTACGGTAAAAATACATGCGTGGATGTTTAAATATGTATTTTTAGTAATATACCATTTTAAATGTCCTTTCAAAAATCAAGAAATAGTATTAACAAAATAAAGGAAAGGAAATTATTTTATCGAGTAGAAAAGGAAATTCGAGAGAAAAAAAAAGGAAAGGAAATAATCAAATCGCTAGAAAAGTTAAAGTTTGAAAAAAAAAATCATAAAAATAAACACCCATTCCCTCTCGTCACGTTATTCTCCAAACTTATCACAATAACAAGATAAGATGCAAGTTTAATTAACCGACAGATAGAATTTCATATGGTGGAATTACTAATTTTTTCCATTAGCAAGTAAAATCTCAAACCAGGGAGCAACATGACATGGCATCTGATGATTGGTCAAAGAATGCAGTCCTTGCTATACATTCCTTGTTAACTACGGCACTTCAGACTTCAAACATAACTCAATTTCGAGGTGTCCTGAATCTAAACGACTTGTTCTTAAGGGTTAAAACCCTAGCACCTAACACTATACTCGTTCCTGATGCGACTGCGGCTTGGTTTGGGTCATAGGTTTCCATATTTCGTTAGGGTTTGGACAAGAACCTAGTTTCTCTCTCTGTGTGTGCTCATGTTTATAGACACACGAGACATGCATGGAACTACGAAGAGTGTCTCGATGATGTGCAACGTAAAGCCAAAGAAGAATCTGAAGAAGAAATTTACTCACAGGGCATACAGATTCATCACCATCCTCGTCTTTTCTGCTATATTGTATCTCATCTTTGTGGATTGTCGGTCAGACACTTGCTCAATCAGCATCACAATTTTGAATTCAAGGTCGCGTTTGGTAAGCCCGAAAGACGAATGCATCAATCCTCACAGGCCCAAATATTTTCCACATCAGACCCAACAATCCTTCGACCAGGCCCATTTAGGCCCAATAAAAGTTTTGGTCGAATACATTATTATAATACTCATGGCTAATAACGGGCTTCACCCTCTATTTTTGTATGATTAGTTTCTCATTATAATTTTGGACTTCTGCCGATATAATTATTCGAATTTAATCCAACTACTCGGAAAAAAAACTAAATAAAATCACAAAAGTGCAAATATAATATAAAAGACTTGTTGGCGGTTCAGTTGTCAACTGTCTGGAAAAGAGACAAGGAGACGATGAGGAACTCGATCCATTGGTACCTCCTCCAAAGGCAAACAAGGAAGAGAGAATTGAATGGTTCAGGAAACAGTTACCGAAGCTCGAAATACTGAATTCAACTAGCAAGAGCCAGAGATTCCACCCAAGAGTGTTGGAATTGTTCAACAACAATTGCACAACTCAGTTCTTCATGGTGTGGCTTTCACCGGCCAAATCTTTTGGACCTAGAGAGCTATTGGCCGTCGATACTCTCTTCAGTACCAATCCAGATGCATGCCTTGTGATTATGTCCAACACTTTGGATTCCCCCAGAGGATACAACATCCTAAAGCCATTGCTTGATCAAGGCTTCCACATTCTTGCTGCAACACCAGATATACCCTTTCTCGTCCAGAACACCCCTGCCGAATCATGGCTGAAAAGGTTGAAGAGCGGCGATATGGATCCTGGCTCTATCCCCTTGTATATGAATCTATCTGACCTGACAAGGCTTGCAGTTCTGTACAAGTACGGAGGAATCTACTTGGACACGGATATCATATTTCTGAACGACCTGAGGGGACTGAGAAATGCAATCGGGGCACAGAGTGTGGACAGAGGAACCGGGAGATGGACAAGGCTAAACAATGCGGTGATGATCTTTGATATCTACCACCCGGTTATGTTTGAATTCTTGCACGAGTATGCCACGACTTTTGACGGGAATATATGGGGCTATAACAGCCCTTACCTGGTTTCAAGAGTCATCCAGAGATTAGGAAACAAACCCAGATACAATCTCACAATCTTGCCACCAAATGCCTTTTATCCAGTTAATTGGATCAAGATTCCTGGGCTTTTCAAGAAACCTGCAACCATAGCCGAAGCAAAACAGGTAGAGAAGACGGTGCGTGACATTAGCAGCGGGAGTTACATGATCCATCTATGGAACAAGGTAACGAGGAAGACGAAGATAGAGGAAGGAAGCGGCATGCAAATTCTAATATCAACGCACTGCACAAGCTGCCTAAACATTACAAATTCTCATGAGCAACCCCCCACGAAACAAAATCCTTCCTCGTGAGTAGATTTCATTCTATATGATTTTTCTTTGGTCAGGAATTTATAGAAATACTATTTGCCAGTATGATTCGGTATCTGCTTTGAGGAATTGAGGTTGCAAGAATCATGTTTGGACTTCATCCATGTCTTTTCACCCTGATGAACAAAGTGCACTCCAAACTCAGAAATCTCTTCACCACAGAGATCACTATGTGAAAGCTCACGTGGTTAGATCATTTCCTGAAACACATTACCCAGACACCGTTTCAGAAAGTTCAAACAACGCTTGAACAAAACAAGAAATCACGAAACAAAGCATGGAATAAACAGAAAACAAGAGAGATCCATTAGAAACAAGATGAACTATAGATGTTTAACAACACATAATCGCAGAATCATAGCCTCTTCTCGGATTACAGCGATGAACTACGATTCTAATTAGAGAAGAGAGAGTCATCGACTTCAATTTTGATTTTCTCGCCGTCGTCGAACTTATCCTTCCCCGGCCGCGAAGGAGGCACCAGCAATTTCGGTGGTTCTCTCCCCTTCTTCTTGTTACGAGGCCTTGCCTGCCGAAATCGAATAAAAAACAAATTTAAACCAAATTCGAACAGAAGAACACGAAATGCTAACAACGAATTCGATACCAAATTACCAATCAGACGAAACTCACGCTCACAATCCCGAACGAGTGACTGAAACGATTCTTCTTCGCAGTTTTCCTGTCTCCTCTATTACAATACACTGAAACCGCGCAAACCTGCCATTACCAAAACCAATACCGAGAGAGAGAGAGAGAGTACCGAGTGGAAAGCATGAGACAGAAACTCCTAGGTATTCGGAGCAAGAAGATGATTAACGCAATGAAAAGAAAGAGAGATGAAGCGACGGAGGCACGCCGAGGATTGTGTAGCTGAAAGTCGAAAGACATTATCAGCTGTGCTGAAGGTCGCGTTTGGTAAGCCCGAAAGACGAATGCATCAATCCTCACAGGCCCAAATATTTTCCACATCAGACCCAACAATCCTTCGACCAGGCCCATTTAGGCCCAATAAAAGTTTTGGTCGAATACATTATTATAATACTCATGGCTAATAACGGGCTTCACCCTCTATTTTTGTATGATTAGTTTCTCATTATAATTTTGGACTTCTGCCGATATAATTATTCGAATTTAATCCAACTACTCGGAAAAAAAACTAAATAAAATCACAAAAGTGCAAATATAATATAAAAGACTTGTTGAGAATTATAAAAAGTTTCTGAAAAATATACTACTTAATATTGCATTATATATACATATGTATATACAGGGGCGGACGCAAGACAACAGGAACGGGGGCACGTGTCCCCAGTGATTTCATAAAAATATATTAAGTTTTTTTATAAAATTTTAAATATATTTGCTAAATGCCCCCATATAGAATATTAAAATTAGATTGTACCCCCTTCTAAATATTTTTCTATATCCGCCCATGTGTATAATATACGTATACCAATTAGTGATGCGTATATATCAGGAAAAGGGGAGCATGTGACGCAATCGAATCTCGCAAATGATAATCATGCATCTGAAAATCTTGCAAGATCTTGCTGGTTTCTTGAGCATTAACACATACTTTTTTTTCTTTAAAAAAATAATGACATAAATTTGAATTTACAGATATCATATAGAGAGAGAGAGAGAAAGAGAGAGTAAAATGTCCAAAAAAATCGAATCCGTTTGAAAGCTTATGGAAAAAATGGTCTAACAATGCATACAACATCATTGTTTTTTTTTAATAATAAAAATACATGTGAACCGAAACGACCATATGATAAGATTCATGTACAAACATGAACATGATCGCATTTATGTGAGGAGTGAATGATGGCACGTGACAGTGAGAAGAACCCACGTGCAACCCATGTGGAAGAATGACTGGGTCCACGGCCCATTACACCCAGCCAACATGCCACAAGCCTTTGCGACCAAGCCACCATTTAATTCTAATAATATATACATATATATGGTAAACTTCTACTGAAATTATAAAATTAAAAAAAAAACAATTCAGAATCAACTATATAAAAACGATGAGATATACGTATGTGTATATATATATATATATATAGCAATTTACATCATAATCACTGTATACAGTTCTTTTTAATTAAGTTTCCATTTTCTTCATTTAATGTATTCAAATGTTCTAAAAAAACATTCAGACTGATACCACTGAATTCCGAACATTCGAAAAAAAAAATTGAATGTAACGTTGAGAGATATTTGCATTTTCCTTAGTTAACTAAAAGCGGTGAGAAATCATATAAAAACTGTAAATGCAATGACAGAAATGAATATTATTGTTTTTTTCACCATAGCTCAGTAAAGAACTTGGACCGACTTACTCTTGTTTCCAACAAATTTGGCGCTACAACATAGATATATAGATTGATAACATTTGAATATTTGATCACCATGTTTTACCACCGTTTTGTCAATACCAATAAATTTGTCTTAGATTCTTATATTAATGCGCAAAATGTTCAAATTAAAACCAAATTTATTTATTTTTTGTATTGATAATGTTATGATCATTTTTTTTCCTCTAAATTCGTTGTCAATTTTAACCGTATACGTATTTAAAACGCAAACAAAAAGAGATTAATGCAATTTAACCTAGTGTTCCATTAAAATACCAAATTTAGAAATCACAACAAGACATCATCAACACATTATATTATCAACTATCTTAATCACTAGGGAAAG